TATTTTTTATCTTACTTAAAATAAATTCAATTTTTTACAGATTTTTGTAGTTAATGTAAAATGAATGACTATTATGAAGGATTTAAATCAAGGTGAAAGCTGAAAGGTAGGAATTTGATGAAGTAAATGCCAGAAATGAGTGAAAATGCAAATCAAACCCAACTAAAACCAAAAATTTGATATACATCATGATATTTTTCTAGGGGGGTAAAAAAATTTAAAATAATTTAACCCCCGTCTACAGAATACTTATTTACGCCCCTGACAATTATTGTTGGTTTCAAGGGAAACCAACACACAGTCATCCTTAAGTAATGCATGCCTTAAGTTTAGCCGGTTAATAATCTTCTATTGCATTTTCTTTTGAATAGCAACATTGAAAAACGTTTAAATCTTTATCATCATTCACAAGATAAAGGTTTCAATCCAGTTAAATATTAAATACAATCGACCAACCTGCCATCTATTGGGAGAATCCCTAGACTGGAAAGGAAGATTGGATTGTGCTCCAGGAACGCGTGGTGTGGGATTAGGCAGATGATGGTTTATAGGCCGAGAGAGAATAGGTTGCGGCATTGTCGCAGCACGTGGGAGAGGTCGTCTTTCTGCCTGTACGGCTGCAACACGGGGAGCTGTAAGGAGGAGAAGGTAGAAAAACACGTTTGAAAATATTCAGAATTTTTTTTTCCAAGGTTTTTAAGCCAGGGGTACACAGACAAGTTAAAAAATTAAAGATAAAAGTTGGAAAAGAATATGGACAGAATGATCAAGTTATAGATAATATACAAAATATATTAAAAATGAACTTACAATCACTTTTCATCCCCATTAGCAGGCACTTCTTTAGCCTGCAGTGCTGACATCTATAAACAACAAACAAATTCAAATATTTTGTCTTAAAGCTGCAGAAAAAGATATTTCATAATGCTATTTAAAAGCTATATTTTAGACAGAAGACCAAATTTCACCTTTTTATCATCATATTTAAAGAGGTTTGGTCGACATCAATTCATTTGAAGGAATAAAAAAGACCGAATATTTAGAAAAAGACGGAGAATTTTTATGTTATTATGTTTATTAGTTTTTTATTAAAAAATGCTGTAAAAATTAAAAACGTTGAAAGGTTGGCCCTTATTTCCCATGTATACATTGAAAAAATCTAAAATTTAAAGATTTAAACTGGAATGCAAAATCGAGGTTAGAATCGCAGGCGACAATAAAAAATGAATACTCATATAACTTATCGTTAAAGAATTATTTTGTTCCTGTTTCTATGGTTTTTATTAATTTGACAATCTCCGGATCCTCGGCACTGATATCCAACTTGCTTCCTGCACACATATACATTGATTTCAATCATCTATTTGTCTGATCAAGTATGAATTATATATCCATGTCTTTGTTTATTCAAACCATTTATTTTGGTTTGTCCGCAAAAATGACAATGGAGCAATTCACGACGTTATCTTCAAAGATTTGCTGTAAATTGTAAATCGGGCATTGCACTATCTTGGATAGAGGGTCACTTCAAATTACGCTTACAGTCCCTTTATGTGAGACACATAGGAAGACGACTGCTAGGTTCAAATGGTCCAATGAACATGACATTCAGCAGTTGTTTAATGGATGTTAGGTACTTTCCCTAAGGCTTTTTCCCAAGTGGCAACTTCCCATGTGACAATTTCCCAAATGGCAACTTCCCAAATGTTCCATTTCCCAAGCGGCAACTTTTCAAGCATGTCCAAGCCGCAGCGCTCGGCCACTAGTCTTTTCTGGTCTTAGAACTCGGCCCTAGCCTATCCTAGCCGCAGCGCTAGATCCCTTTGCAGCCTGCTGCGCCTCAGAAGCCCTAATCTAACCTTTGGGAAGTTGCCAATTGGGAAATTGTCACTTGGGAATTCGCTCTTGGGAAAATGCCTTTTGGAAAGTACCCATCACTGTTTAATGTAAATACTGTACATAGACGCAGTTTACTTTATAAGTGTTAGAATGATAAGAACATCAAATGCAAGCAGAATATTACTTAAATGTCGTCTTCCTACTCCACGTTTATGAGTAATAAATTATGAAATTTACAATAACCATCAATTAAGTTTCTGTATTTCAGAAATTTAGCTGGGAAAAAAATTGTTTACATTTTGTGTAATGATTTAACAATGTTATTTAACTTTTATTTATCAATTTTTACAAATACGAATTTTTGTTTGTTTTGATAAAGTTCAATTTAAGAGAAAAAAATTAGAAACATTTTACAAATTACAGATAAGAAAATGTGAGAACCAGAAAACTGTGGAGGAGGAGACGATATTAAAGCAATAATTAAGTGTGTTTGATGCTGTTACAATACCTGATGAAGAGACGAATCGAAAAGAAAAATGAATTTAAAAAAGAAAAAAACCTGATGGATCTTTTGAAGAATCCTTTACACCCTTCACAGCTGATTGCTCCGTAATGGCGGCCTGGAAAAGTTAAAAGAAATCAATATAATTTACCATCAAATTATTTTATGTTTGTGATTGTAATTTAATGTAAAAATATTAAAATAAATTCGAATTATATTCTATGTTTCTTTCTAATCTTAATAAAATGCTATATTTTATTCATTTTTTCTAAAATTTGATTATACGCAATATTTCCGTGGATTTGAAACAAAGAAGACGACCTATCTTATTTAGTTTAATTTGTTCTTAGAGTTTAAAGAATAAAATTAGAAATATTCTAATTAGAAATTCTACTAAATTAGATCAATATTTATTGGACATATTTAGTTTCAATTTTAATCTAAATTTCCGCACAATGAAGTAGGAAAAGAGTTTGCTTTTTTAACCATGATGGCAATTATTGTTATCATATTTAAAATTTATTTCGAAAGTTTATCAAATATTGTTCAAAATAAAATTTGTTTAAAAAAAGAGTTTTTTTAATGAAAAAAATTACCAGAAGCCCTGTCCCCACAAACAATACAGAATTCAGGTGGCTGCACTTCTAAAACATCCCTAGAAATATAATTTAGGAATTTTTTTTTATTGTATTTTAAAATTTAGTTATTTTAAAATTCTTAGTTTTAAACAAAAAAGTTATGCTTTCATCTTTTCTGCCTTTAATGGCGAAGTTTCAAAATATAAAAAAGAAAATATTTTTAGAGGGGGATATAGTTTAAAAAATGATTAATTTAACAATTAGAAAATAGAGAATAATATTAATGGGAAGATTTATAAGGGTTTATAAATTTATGAATTTTCTGTATTTATTGTGTTTTCCGTGGAATTAAAAAAATTTCGAATTAGAAAATAAAATTGAAATTTAAAAAATCTAAATGTTACGGGTACCCGGGGTTTCTTTAAACAATTCAGCCAATTTGTTCCAGCCGTTTGAAAAGCTATAGACAGCTAACATATATATATGTGTGAGCGAAGAGCTTAATCTATATAATAAAACAAGACATTTGTATATATGTTGCGTATAGCCGGCCAAACGGCTGGACCGAATGGGCTGACATTTTTTGTGGACACTCATGGGTGGCCGGGGAGTGTTCAAAGTTAAAACAAAATTTTAATTTTTTTTCAACATTTTTTTATTTTTTTTTTATTATTTTTCCACGGGCAACGCTGGGCCCTTCAGCTACTGATATAAATGATTGTATCTTAGGTCAGAGTAAAAAACAAGGCGTTCAAAAATCCTTGTTTTTTCAAACAAATAAACATGCAAATATTCCAATTGGTTAATTACCTGGTTAGTCCAGGGTGAAATGTTAAAAGTGAAAAAAAAATGTCCTACCTACTAGACGGGGTAGAGAGATTGAGGACAGTGAAATGAGACTCATTTTCCTAAAGCAAAGGAATTGAGTTTTTGTCACAAACTCTGATTTTCTTATCCCTATAATTTTTCATTTTAATGTCAGAGACCTTATAATATTTAAAACCATGAATTATTTTAGATCAAATAATAATAGTTTGAAATATCAAAGGTTAACAGGTTGCAAAGATATAGTGATTTGAAAATCAGAATTTGTGGCTAAAACTACAGTACAGTACAGTACAGTACAGTACAGTACAGTACAGTACAGTACAGTACAGTACAGTCGTCCAGAAAATAAAATTGAATCAAAGATATATTCTTGAATAGTAAGAAAACATGCATACACAGGATCTGTACAGTTTTCTGTCATGAACCCTTTAACTAATTGCTATGGATCAGTTTTGTTGTAATTGAAAATATATTTTTAAGGGAGAGGAAGGGGGGAAGGGGTGTTGAAAAGTTACTGGTGGAAGGGGGTGCAAGGAATTTGGGCCCGATCGGTTCAGCCGTTTTGAAGTTTATTGGATAAAAACAGACAGACAAACAGATAAGCAAAGTATATAAATAGATTATTGATACCTGCTTCTTACGCGGGGTCAGGTTAACATTTCCTAGGGTCAACTTCTCCTGAAGTTCTCTAAACAGAAGAGAACATTACCTGTACCTGAACCTGTACCTGTACCTGTACCTGTACCTGTACCTGTACCTGTACCTGTACCTGTACCTGTACCTGTACCTGTACCTGTACCTGTACCTGAGTTTTGACTGCCAATCCTCCATACTATGTTGTGACTCTGGTCCTCTAAATAAATATTTATTATTAAGACATTAAAATAAAATTAATAATTAAAATCATCAATGAATGGTTGAAACAAAAATTACCTTGATGTTGGATTCCAAAACATTGAATATTATGATGAAATAATTCTTGGAAAGCAATATCTGAAATTAAGACAACTATTTGACTAGTGTACCCCGGGAACCGAATTTAACTATCTACCATCGTCGTACGATTCCAAAACTTTTCTGTATTTCTACAGTGTAGTAAAACAGATGTACTGAAATTGACTGGAGCTAGCGACAAAGCTCAAAATTATTAAATTTGATGAATTTACAAAAATTAAAATCGAGGCTCTGGCATCAACTGACAACTCTTTTAAGGGGCACACTGTAATTATTTATGTATGAATGTATATTGTACATAAATACGTATAGTGCACCGCTGTACCATGTACCGAGTAGGAAGGGTCATGAACTACTACTATCTAAGGAAGGGCTTCTACAATGTTTATGTAGAAAGCTCAAGCCAAAAGGTCAACTAAAGCTGGCCGGCACACTGAGCCCTGTGAAAAGGTCAATGCAGTTGGGTCATTCATTATTTAAAATCATAGTTTTAAACATCTAAAACATCATCATAAATCTATAATTTTCAAAATTTAATTTCATGAAAAATATTAGTCCCTGGGCTCTGGAAAAGGTTAGGACCGGGCGGGGAGTTTAAGGGCCTCCGACCCTTCAAGGGGACCTTAAATGTCAAGCCAGGTCGTAAAAGTTCGTTAATTAGATCGACCCCCCTCAACACTATACACATACACATATAAACAGTTTGTTTTTAATCTTCATGACAGAAACAATCTCAAGGAATAATAATTATCTTAAAACATTCCTTAAAAAGCAAATATTTGCAAATCATCTTTTTCCATCTCATAATCTGAGTTCGTTTCCATTTTGCACATTTTTTTATTAATAATCTTTTTTGTTTGTTTATTTTCTTGTGGTTTTTTAACATTTTTGCTATTGATTTTTATGGTTATTATATCGTTAGAACTGACGAGGGTCAACCCTAGACCGAATTATATTTTCAATAAAATGTGGAACTAACATCTACTTTTTTTACTCAACAGAGGTTTGGCACATCACCATCACCGAATTTTAAATGTATGACATTTATTCTTTCCTACACGGTTTCCTTCAACAGTAAACTTGATTCTCTCTTTGCCAAATTAATTTTCAAATTTCTTTGAAAAGATTTAAGAAAGTTTTTGAAGTCTTTTGAGGGCATCTCTGTATGGCCACACTTAACTTCTTCAAAAGCAAATTTAGAAATGGCGAATATAAACTCACCCCCGATTTCAAAGCATGACATCTTTATGCCAAAATAGTTTATGGAATAAAATTTCAAACTTAATAGGAAACTTAACTTTTGGATTACAAATATGGATTTTTTTCCTTATCTATTGTACCTGGATAAAAAGGAAACTTAAAACATAAGAAGCTTCTTCTACATAATAAAACAAGATATTCGTATACAAGGTAATAATGCAAGGAAAGTTATTTCAGAGGTACCTTTTTTACTGCAGTGTAAACACAAGAAGGATGTCGAAGCCTGATATGGAATCCATCTTTCACTTAAAAAATCAATGAAATGTTCTGGTCAATTTATGTGAATTATCAAAATTATCAAAATTTAATGCTTTTAACCTCCTCGGATACTAAACAAACACTGATGCATCTTTTCTTGTTTACAAATTCCGCCCAGAGAGAACTGGTTTTACTTTCAATATTTCTCGCAGAGTATGCGTAACTGCAATTATCTATCCTTGCATTACAACCTTGTTCGTATATATGTTCCCTCTGACCGGCCCAAAGACTGGACCGAAAGGGCTGACATTTTTTGTGGACACTCATGGGTACCCTGGGGGCAACATAGGCTAAACAAATTCTAAAATTTGTATGTTTCAAAAATGGATTTTTTAAAAAAAAATCAAATATTAAATTTTTTTAAAAGATCAAAAGTTATTTTTTTTTTGTTTAATTTCACGGGCAATGCCGGGCTCTCAGCTAGTTATGAAATAAAACTTTCTATTTTTTTCGTCTTGTTCCGGAAAGTTCAAACATTAGATGCTTTTTAAAGTATCATAAACTTAATTAAAAAACATCTTAAAGTATACAAAGAAAAATGTGGTGATATAGATTTGAAACGAATAACATGTCTTGATGAAATAAACATTTTATGAATATATTTGAAGAAAAACACCTCTGAATAATGTTTAAAAGACTGCCGGCTTCATGAGCAATTTCTTTACTTCAACAAGAGTTTTAATTTATTTCTTTTTAAATTTTCATATTTAACTGAAATAAGAGTAAAGGATAGAAATACAAACCTAATTAACTCTTTATTCAAGAGTTCTAAGCGCATTTGAACATTGAGAGAAAGGAAAATGGGGAAAATGAAAAATATAGGAGACACTGAAACAAGTCTTTGTGTAAAGTATGTAGTAGCTTATACAGTGTAATAGGAAGACGACATAAAAACAATATTCAACCCTATCCCTGCTGGGGTACTTGAAAACCTGGATACGCTGGAGGGGGGAGGGGCGTTAATTTGATCTCCCCTCTAAATTCCATGTTTGATGCCCAAATATAACAAATTATACATCATTGGAACGCTCTTATGCTCTAGTTATAGAATTTGTAAAATAATTTGCAAATTTGAAAAATGAAAAGCTTGGGGTCTCCAATGAAAGTTAAGGGGTTTTGATTGAAAGCTTGGGGTCTCCAATGAAACTCTTGGATTCCGATTGTCCAATATGAAATTGGGGGTCTTTGATGAAAATTTGGGGGTCTCAAATGAAAATAAATGGGTCTCCATTGAGACGTCCATGAGGGTGTCATAGTACTCCAATGATGATGGTTTCTAATCAAACGCTCATCTACATGTCTTATCTTCTATATGTATGTTAAGATGAGATAGTTTCGATTACGGTACAAAATACATGGTGTCCCACTATACAACAAAGGCAGAGAAACAGATGTCGTCTTCTTAAACTAACTTTTGATTTTTTGAAACAATATAGTAATAGTAAGCTAATCTCTTTTTAGGATACCCCAAACAGTCGCAATAAATAGCTCTTTTATTGGTTACTGGGATAAAAACGTTGTATACTCCCTCTCTACGACAACAAAATGCTTAAAAAAAAAATTAAAAAAAACACGACAAAATAAAAGATTCTTTCAGACAAATTTTTTTTATATTTCATCACAATTTACATCTAGTATCACACAATGAAATAAATTGATTTAAACATTAAACACGGGAATTCAACGATTTAAAGCCTAAACTTTTTAAAAGCTTAAACTTAAGCTAAGCAAAACATATCAATAATGCCATTATTTGCTATTTGCTTTGGAAATATTAATTTTAGATATCTAATCAACTTTTAGATTTGTAGTCTTTCTTATTTTCTTCTTCACCTAGCAGGCTGAATTCAGTGATAATTTAAATCCAAAGCTCGTAAAAAGGGAAAAATCGTCTTCTATCGATGTGTATAATAAATATATGTATTACAAAATACGTAACAAACATTTTTTGATAAAACTGACAGAAAATATTTATTATTTACATTAGACTAAAATTTGAAAAAGACCAATCTATCTTTACTAAAATAAAAAGTACAGTGCACAGTTTAAGCAAATTGATATAGTTTTACGTTGTTAAAGTTGAATATTTGAAGATTTTTTTTATAAGAACATTGTGCTGTAAAAAAAAACAGGTTAAAACTATATCTTTACTTTTTCTGCTTTAGAGAACTGACTTATCTTTTGAGGTTAAACTTTTCACCTGACTTTGATTTGAATAACATTTGCTGACACACTGCACTATAACATGAATTCCAATACTGTGTGAAAATTTCGAGTGCCCCAAGGTACTAATGCAAGGAAAGTTATTTCAGAGGTGTGCGCATTTTTTGTACTGCAGTGTACTGTCTTTGGGCGAAAAGTAAACACAAGACGGATGTCACAGCCTGACATGGGATCCATCTTTCAAATAAAAAATCAATGAAATATTCTTGTCAAAGGAAACTATTAAGTGAATTATCTAAATTATCAAAATTGAATGCTTTTAACCTCGGATACTAAACGAACACTGACGCATCTATTCTTGTTTACAAATACCGTCCAGAGAGAACTGTTTCACTATGTCCGCAGAGTATACGCAACTGCAATTAACTTTTCTTGCATTAGAACCTTGGAGTGCCCTGAGTAAACCTTTATTGTACTGTGTGTACCTCTTGTGTACAGTGTAAAACTGCAATGTACTCTGTATGCACCAAAAGTGTACTCAGTGTACTCAGTACACTGAACTGTGTAAGCCTTTAGTTAGTGCTACTGTTTGAACCTTCTACTGTACTGCTGTCCCCCGTCATATTATACCGTTTGTAGCTCTTACTTGTGATTTTCGAGATTGAAACATTTAAAAATTGTATAAGGCTCTTATTAAAAAATTGTATGCAGAATATAGTAGGATTTCTCGTAATTTTTGCGTATTTCGTTGTTAAAGCTTGGAGATAATCTAATATGATATGAAACGCTTTGTATAATGTATTGTGTGAACCACTATACTATGTAAATCTGTACTGTACCGTATAAAATCATACATTACTGTAAAAACTGTACATTGTTCATTAAGCTCTAATCACAACATTGAACATTTACAAAATTCACAACATATATAAATAGTTACTGCTTGCCAGAATTAGCCTAAGCTGGATTTAAAAAGCTTAAAAAATGTTTTGATGATTTAACGTGCGAGTTTTTTAGAAGAAATCACAGAAATCAAAATTTTTATTAGTAAACTGGAATGTTATCTATTCGTAGGTAAACAAGAAAAGCTACCTCTCACTGAAAAAATGTAGAAAGTTTAAAAAAAAAAAAGTCGATTCACAATTTTTTCTTCAAAATCCCTTTTTTCAATTTTAAATCATAAAAATCAAAGGGAAATACGACATTGGACCTTTGAAAGTAGCGTAACACCGATAATTGTACATTGTTATTCATGGGCTGAGCCTGTTATTTATGACAGGGTATCGTTACGAAACCTGGTATCAGACACCTGGTATTGGGAAACCTGGTATCGGAAACTTGGTATCGGAAACCTGGTATCGGAAACATGGTATAAGAGACCTGGTATCAGAATCCTGGTATCGGAAACCTGGAATCGGAAACCTGGTATCAGAAACCTAGTACCAGAAACCTGGTATCATAGACCTGGTATCAGATACCTGGTATCAGAAACCTAGTATAAGAAACCTAGTATTAAAAACCTGGTATCAGAAATCTGGTACCGAAAACCTGGTATCGGAAAACCTGGTATCGGAAGCCTGGTATCGGACACCTGGTATCGGAAACCTGGTATCGGAAACCTGTGTCCGAATTTAAAGAATTGGAGCGGCGGTTTAAATTTAAGCCGCGGTTTAAATATGGTTGGTTCCACTTAAAATTGTATCAAATGTTTCAAGATTTAAGCCGGCGCTTAATTTAAACCAGGTTTTGGCGGATTTAAACCGCGGCTCAAATTNACTATAGAATATCTTAAATATAGAATAGCATTAAACCACAGAGTATCTAAAATATAGAGTAGCATTAAACCATAGAATATCTTAAATATAGAGTAGAATTAAACCACAGAGTATCTAAAATATTGAGTAGCATTAAACCATAGAATATCTAAAATATAGAGTAGCATTAAACCACAGAATATCTAAAATATAGAGTAGCATCAAACCATAGAATATCTAAAATTTAGAGTAGCATGAAGCCATAGAATATCTAGAATATAGAGTAGCATTGAAACACAGAATATATAGAAAATTATAGAATTATAAGCTTTAATTATAAGCTAAGAAACAAACTAGTCTATAATTAATCTACGGCCTATGGATCACAATTCTACGCATCACAAAGACAAACATCTCTTAACAATGTAAAAAAATGAAATAAAGGAAATCTTAAAATCTGTGATTACTACAGATTTAACTAATGTGCTATTCATTCTATTTAGTTTAGATGGCACAAGAAGATATAAATGAATTGCTTAAAATCTTCAAAGAGTACACCCGATATTGCATAAAATAAACCCCTATATTTACGATGAAAACCAAAGTTGGTTTTTGAAAAATCAACTGGCCCTTTGTCATTAGAAATAATATGATGATAAACAATTCCGTTTACAGAGTCTGAATTTAAGGAATTTGAGCCACATCTCAAATATGCCAAAAACCGGTTTCAATTGAGAGCTGGCTTAAATCTTGAATCATTAAAAACAATTTTAAGTGGAAACAACCATATTTAAGCCGCGGCTTTAAATCTTTAAATTCGGCCTCAGACCTTTTAAGTTCTGAAATCTTGATGGGTGTATCAAGGGCTTATTTTATTCCAAAGACAATTTTTTTCCCGTTTATTTTACTGAGAGATTTTTAGTTGGGAGAGAGTATATGGAACTCATAATCTATAGCTGGTTGGGTATTGGATCAGTTATTAACATATTGTGAGTCCAGTTTCAGTTTTTTCTACCTGAGCCCGCGATTTAAAAATTTCGGCTCGAGTCGTAATTCCTTAAACCCAACTTTAAGACCCGATCTTCGACCCAACTCTGACGACAGCTTGTGTAACGTGATTGACAGCTGCAAGATCTTTGACTAGACTCAAGGAAAATAAAACCAACCTTGGTGGAGAATAAGGCTCAATATTGAGTCTTGTTCTCATCAAAACCCGGAATGCGCCAATTCCTACCATGAAAATCCGCCAAATAGAATATTAAATCGGGTTTTTTGAACTCAACTCTGTTGAAAATAAGATGCAGCTTCAATCCGAACGCTCAAGCCGTAAATAAGGTCCTGACCGGAGTTGTATTTTCCCAAATTTTTAATCGCGGGCTCTGAACAACAGCTATGTAAACTAAAACTAAAACTAAAGCTAGCATGCAAAATAAAAGTGTATTAACCTAAAGAACAGTACACCCACATTTGCTGCGTTTAGATTTTCGCGGTTTTTTCAGCGGAGTGCTCTTATTGATTTGCCTCACGAGGTCAAAGAAAATCTAAAACAAAACAAAAACAAAACAACAACATAAACAAAATGAAATTAAAACAACAAAACAAACAAAAATAAAATATGAATGAAAAAAGTTTAAAAATAAAAATAAATTAATAGTAAATATTCTGTGAAAGACGAAACAATTATAATTATAATTAATTGCATAAAAGAATTGTAAACGGAATAACACCTGAGCCTCTTCGCAAAGATGACAATGTCCGATTTCCAACGGTACCTTTAAAAGCTTTGTCTGATCAAGTACTAATTGATATCAATGTGCATATTTGTGAAAACTTTTTTCAATTATGATTCTTTCGAAAAAATTACTTGCGCATTTCTGTTGCAGAAAAACATTAAGGAATTATCATAATAACACTTTAATATCTATAAAAACGAAAATATCTTCCATTTTTTTAATCACTTGAAGGTTTCAAGGGTACCGTTGTAAATCGGGCATTGCGATCTTTGCATGGAGGATCACTTGAAATTACGCTTACAGTCCTTTAAACAATATAATTTTCTAATTGAAAATGTTGAAAACTGAAGAGAGTTCATTCAGTGATTCATGATTAAAATGACGCAAGTAATATCCTTGAAAGCTTTAGATTGAAAATGAATAGCAAATTGTGTGCAGAAATCACCACAGTTCTAATGTTTTGCGTGGGATAATCTGGTTTATAATAATAAAACATGAAGGATATACAGGGTAACCCACAAGGGATGAGATTTAAAGAGACTTATTCTTATTCTTATTGTTTTAATATTTTCTTACATTCATTATTCCCTGAAACATTTTTATTCGCTAAATCATTAAATAAGCCATTTAAAGATCACATAAGACATTGCACAAAGTTAAACAATGGTTTAATCGATACAAAAAAAAGATCTTTACACAAAACAGTAAAATAAAAAAATCTGTACATTGTGTACAGTGTATAAGGAAGTTCTACAGCGTACAGCGCAAAGGTTCAATGGAGTGTTCGCTATAGTGATATTTTTGGTCATATTTGGTAATTTCGGTCAGTATTTTACCAATTCTGAACTTTTCTGGATTTCTGCGAGATCGAAACCATTTTTGCCAATTGATACCTATTGACAATAGAAAAGGAAAAAGGTATAATTAACTATATATATATGTTAAATATAGCTGGCCAAACGGGTACACAAGAAGTAACATTAGATTTTTTCAAAATTCAAATTTTAAATGTTATACTTCTTTTAAAATCCACGTGCAACGCCGGGCATTTCAGCTAGTGCTTTATATTGTGAATAGGTATAAAACCTAGAACCCCTTTCCATATTTTCCGATAAGGAATATAATCATGTTCTGTCCTGGTCCAAAAAGACCGGTACACGTACATACGTAAAAGAACAATCATATTTGGTCCATCATGGTCCAAACGGACAGGTACACGCACATAAGTAAACAAAAATCATGTTCGGTCCATCATGGTCCAAACGGGCAGGTACACGCACATAAGTAAAAGAACAATCATTTTCGGTCCATCATGGTCCAAATGGACCGGCACACGTACATAAGTAAAAGAACAATCATTTTCGGTCCATCATGGTCCAAACGGACCGGACACGTACATACGTAAAGAATAATCATGTTCGGTCCATCATGGTCCAAACGGACCGGTACACGTACATACGTAAAAGTATAATCATGTTCGGTCCATCATGGTCCAAATGGACCGGCACACGTACATACGTAAAAGTATAATCATTTTCGGTCCATCATGGTCCAAACGGACCGGTACACGTACATACGTAAAGAATCATCATGTTCGGTCCATCATGGTCCAAATGGACCGGCACACGTACATACGTAAAAGTATAATCATTTTCGGTCCATCATGGTCCAAACAGACCGGTACACGTACATACGTAAAGAATAATCATGTTCGGTCCATCATGGTCCAAATGGACCGGCACACGTACATACGTAAAAGAACAATATTTTCGGTCCATCATGGTCCAAACGGACCGGTACAAGTACATACGAAAAAGTATAATCATGTTCGGTCCATCATGGTCCAAACGGACCAGTACACGTACATACGTAAAGAATAAACATGTTCGGTCCATCATGGTCCAAACAGACCGGTACACGTAAGTTGAATCGTCGAGTTATCCAAATATTAATTATAAAATGTACAGCTTACACTTTACACGGTGGACTGTATTGAAAATATAAATTTTTAAACATAGAAAATGTATTTTAAAACACAACAGTGAAGTCACCATGTTTTAAATACTTACATCCTGAACTCCAATCTTAGCTTTAGCAGAGGTTTCCATAAATCTACAGTTACTGAAGGATCTGGCCAGGTTCATTCCCTGTATAGTGTAGTTTAGTAGTTGTACAGTACAGTATATGTACAGCACACAGTTTAGTAGCTGTGCAGTAAAGTATATGTACAGTGCACAGTTAAGTAGTTGTACAGTACAGTATATGTACAGCACACAGTTTAGTAGCTGTACAGTAAAGTATATGTACAGTGTACAGTTTAGTAGCTGTACAGTACAGTATATGTACAGCACACAGTTTAGTAGCTGTACAGTAAAGTATATGTACAGTGTACAGTTTAGTAGCTGTGCAGTAAAGTATATATACATTGTACAGTTTAGTAGATGTACAGTAAAGTATATGTACAATGTACAGTTTAGTAGCTGTACAGTACAGTATATGTACAGTGCACAGTTTAGTAGTTGTACAGTACAGTATATTTACAGTGCACAGTTTAGTAGCTGTACGGTAAAGTATATGTACAGTGTACAGTTTAGTAGCTGTACAGTACAAAATATGTACAGCACACAGTTTAGTAGCTGTGCAGTAAAGTATATGTACAGTGTACAGTTTAGTAGTTGTACAGTACAGTATATGTACAGTGTACAGTTTGGTAGCTGTACAGTACAGTATATTTACAGTGCACAGTTTAGTAGCTGTACAGTAAAGTATATGTACAGTGTACAGTTTAGTAGTTGTACAGTACAGTATATTCACAGTGCACAGTTTAGTAGCGTACAGTACAGTCTGTACAGTATATGTACAGTGTACAGTTTAGTAGCTGTAAAGTATAGTATATGTACAGTGTACATTTAGTAGATGTACAGTGTACAGTTTAGTAGCTGTACAGTAAAGTACACGTACAGTGTACAGTTAGTACAATATATGTACAGTGTACAGTTTAAAAGCTGTACAGTTTAGTAAAGTACAATAACTTCTGTTTAAACAATGATACTTAAAGTTTATTCGTTTGCACTGCTTAATAGCAATATAATGAATAATACAGAACAATACAATATAATTTAAAATTATTGTAATAACATATTTAGAAGGAATTTACCAAGTTTATTGCATTGAATATTGAACAGTATATGGTACATAAGAATAATTCTCAGAAACTTGTTTGAATTAAAAAATTTTAATTTTACAGAGAATGACCGGCAATGTTTGTTAGTTGAACTGGGAATGTGGTATCGTACAGAAATTTGTTAGGATTTATTTAAGACGTATAAAACGTTTTAATGATGTATAATTACTGAGTTTGAGCGCAAAGTCAACGTTCAAAATCATCCGTTTGGGTGGTTATGTTTTGAGAATTATTAAAATTATTAAATAATGACGATGAAAGATGCATCATATTTTCTACAGTAAACTATCTAGATGTTTAGAAACATATTTCTCATTAGAAATTTATCAATAAATAAATGTTAAAATCAACTTTTCGTTTTTCGTTATTTTATATTGAATTTCTATTTTTTTTACGAACTAGTTCGCAGATTTCTACAAATTCTTCAAATGTCGTCTTTTCAATAAAAATTCCAAAATATTTACAGAAAATGTTTGTGAACAATGAGAGATTACAGAAACTAATAGCTGAATAAGATCACTTATTTTCGATGATAAAGAGTTAATTTTTTTTCTCAACCTGTTACTAAACAACTAATTAGTTGAATTTTTGAAACTCATCTTTAAAACGTTTTAAATGTCTCAAATGAATCCTAAACAATTTCTCCACATTACTACATTTTCAGTTCAACTAACATACATTGCCGGTCACTCCCTTTTAGTGGACTGAGAATCGAATCTGAATTAAAAAATGAATCAAAATTTATGTTTCGGCATTTCTTGTTTGATGATGTTCATATATTTGTAATAATTTTCGTTGTATCTACACTTTATTATCAATAAAGAATAAAGAATAAAGAATATTTGATTCACTTCTTAAATATTTAGCATTACTTTTTCCCTCAGTGTAAAAACATTTAAAAAGGACCATTTTCTAATTTCTAATCTATTTTACGTCCGGGTAACACATATAGCTCCCTCTCCTTACTTTTACTATTCCTACTTCTACCTTCACTTAACCTTTTCCCCCTATTCTGCAATAAACGTAGAAACGGCTGAACCGATCAGGCCAAAATTTGTGTGGGACCTGACATGACCCCAGGAAAGGTTTATGGATGATCAAAATTTCAAAGATCTGCCTCCAACAAAACTTGACTTTCATTAAATTTGAAAAATCACAATTGAAATAGAATATGGGCGCGGGATTGCTCTGAAAGCCTAGCATTTTATTTTTATCTATGGTTGATATCTAACCTGATCCTTCCCAACAACTCGTTCATCTTCAAGATCACATTTGTTCCCAACCAGGACTAGAGGGACATCGTCAGTATCCTAGATAATACAGTTCGTAAACAATATCATATGGTTGGCACTTGGCAGGCATATTACCATTTTGTTCATAATGTCAAACGACCCTAAACGATTTAGAAATGGAGAACGCGTAGTTAAAATTACGAGCATTTTGTTTCAAATTACTAACATTTTGTCTAACATTACGAATATTTTGTTTAACATTACAAACATTTTTCTAAAATTACGAACACTTTGTAAAAATTATGTCTTTTTGTTTTAAAATTACGAACATTTTGTTTAACATTACTAACATTCAGTCTAAAAATGCGAACATTTTGTATCAAATTTTAAACATTTTGTTTCAAATTTTAAACTTTTTATTTCAAATTTTAAATACGTTGTTAAAAATTATGAACATTTTGTTTAATATTATAGACCATTTTCTTTAAAATTTTGAACATTTTAAACATATCCCTAACATATGAAATGCTTTCTGAGAATCTTACTATCCTTAACTCTAAGGATCTTACTATCCTTAACTCTTAGAATCTTACTAACCTTGACTCTAAGGATCTTACTATCCTTAACTCTAAGGATCTTACTATCCTTAACTCTAAGGATCTTACTATCCTTAACTCTTAGAATCTTACTAACCTTGACTCTAAAGATCTTACTATCCTTAACTCTAAGAATCTTACTATCCTTAACTCTAAGAATCTTACTATCCTTAAGTCTAAGGATCTTACTATCCTTAACTCTTAGAATCTTACTAACCTTGGCTCTAAGGATCTTACTAATCTTAACTCTAATTATCTTACTATCCTNTAGCTTAGCATACCCCATGACCTAAAAATGTTTAATAGATAAATACTAAAAAAAAACTTACTGTTCCTGCAGTATCTAATATTTCAAGCATACAATGCTGATTGTCCAGTTCAACCTGCTTCCTGTAGGAATCCTCTATCGTAGGATCATACTTTTCAACAAATATACCCTTAAGTCTAAGGATCTTACTAACCTTAACTCTAAGGATCTTACTAACCTTAACTCTAAGAATCTTACTAACCTTAACTCTAAGGATCTTACTAACCTTAACTCAAAGAATCTAACTAACCTTGACTCTAAGGATCTGTTCCCTAAGATCTTGAAGATCGTTAAATGTTGATTGTGCTGTTATACTGTACACCAGTACAAAACCCTGTCCATTCTTCATGTACAGGTCCCGCATAGCGGTAAATTGCTCCTAAAAGTAAAACATGTTACATATTTAATATTATTTAGAATTACACCATATTCTGAAGACGGTGCAAAGTCATACAAATAAAATATTAACAATATATAATGTATAGAAATATTTTAGTAAACATAGTAATTTGATTCAGGCGCGTAACTAGGGGGGGGGCACTTCTCTACCTTAAGAAGGCTTGCCCCCCCTGTAGGGGGGGGGCAAGAAGTCCACCCTGTTTTGCAATTTAGCGATTCATGAATCCTGACCCTGAGCAAATTTAACAGGTCTGATCGTAAAATAAAAATATAATAATTGAACGTTGGTGTATTGAGCTTATGGTTCAATCAATATTCTGCAGTAAAACTATTTATTTAATCCTACATGTTCATTGCAAATATTGTGTGATGTGTCATATAAAAATATTTTTCAAAAAAAATCTTAATTTTTTAAATAAAACGCATTTCTTGTCAGTGTATGAGTACAATGTACATATTTGATTTATGGATGAATAATGAAAATATATATATATATATGTAAATTAATTAGCATTGTTATTCTTATTAACCAGGATAGATTTCTTTTTTTATATCATATCA